CGTGACTCAGGGCCGCCCCCCGCGGGCACACGCGCAGGCTGCACTCCCGAGGCGGCCGGGCGCACGCGGGCTGGCACGCACCCCGGGGCACGCAGGGACACACCTGCGGGGGCACAGGCACACGCGGGCTGCCACGCCCAGAGAGAGGCGCACACATGCGTGTGGGCTGGCACACCCATTGTCACAGAGTCGCACGCAGGCTGGCACACGGGAACTGCAGGTTGGCACACTCGTGTCACACAAGCACACATAGGCTAGCACACCCACTGTCACAGAGGTGTACACAGGCTGGCACACCCACCCATCATCACACAGGCACATGCAGGCTGGCACACTCATGTCACACAAGCACACACAGGCTAGCACACCCCCTGTCACAGAGGTGTACACAGGCTGGCACACCCACCCATCATCACACAGGCACATGCAGGCTGCACACTTGCTATCACAGACGTACATGCTAGCACCCAAGAAATCCCAAGCAATCAGGTGGTTCTGGAAACCCGAACATCACACACTCACACCGTCCGTCCGAGATGCAGTCACACTGTCGAACAGGGTTTGGAGCAAACCCAGGCTAACACACAGCACTGCACACTGTCTGTAGAAATCAGTCACACTGTTTGATGCCTGGAAGCACAGACACACACAGTTGCACACCCTGATACACAAGCAGAGACCCACATTTCTGACACACAACTGCACCCATCCAGGCACAGGGAGTCTAGCGTGCACACTGCCTAACCCAGACCTCTGCAGCCTCACACTCATCACACAGGCAGAGAGAAACACCTGTGACACGGGCAAGTGCACACGTTTTGACACACAACAACATGCAGTCTCACAATCATTCTGGCACATGCACACACAATTCTGTCCCCTCCCAGGTTACTGTATCTGGGTGGGAAGAATCAGGTGAGACCCCAGCAGGTCACACAAACAGGTCCTTGGGACACTGCCAGAGGGAGGGCACATGCTGACTGCTCCCAGCTGCCTCCTCCCAGCACACTGAAGGTACAACTACACCCACATACAGGCACTGCTTCCAGGCACACACCTGCATGCATACAGCATGTACAACATGCCCCACACCTGTACATACAGGTGTTACCCCCAAACACACAGCCTTTTTGCAGCACACAGCTTTCCACCCCCAGTGCATTTACAGCACAGGTGCACACACTTCCAGGCATTACCCATCCAAGGTGCACCATCTCCCCTTGCAACATCCCCCCCATGCTTCCAGGCCCTGCCGCTGAACCCCAGAGCAGCTCCAGTGCTTCCTCCACTCAGTGAGCCCTGCAGGGGTTGTGGGCAGGGAGGTGAGCTCAGGGCCCAGGGCTCTGCTGGCTATTGCCTGTTGGCTCAGGGGCAGGTGGGGCAGTGCGAAGCTCCATTTCTCTCCTCCTGCTCAGTGGAGGGGTCCTGGGCAGGTGGCAGTGCAGAGGGGGTGAATCTCTTCTCCCCCTGGGCTGGGTCAGCTCCACAGCAAGGCTGTCCTGGAGAAGGTCTCCGAGTTCCTGGCCTGGGAAACTACTCATGCCTGGGTGGTGGAGATGGGGACGGCCTTAGGCTGGCACCGTCCTTTTTCACAGGGGCTTCACACACTTGCTGTGCAGGTATACTCACCCCCAAATATGCACACTTCCACTCTGACATACACATGCTGGCACACTTCCACCCTGACCCAGACTGTCTCAAATTCACTCACAGGCATAGTTACACCTTGACACACACATGCACACTCATACACGTGCATGCTCTCACACATTGGCACACACATGTGCTCACACTCACATCCTGGCACACTTCCACCCTAACACACACACATACACATGCTCAAACACACATGCTCACACTCACTCACTGGTGCACTTAAGCCCTGACACACATGCATTCATTTACTAGGCTCATGTGCTTGCACATGTACACCCTAATACACACACACACACACACTTGCTGGCCCCCCTCTCCCTGGCTTATTACTCCCGCAGATGCCCAGGCACACTTGCAGTGCTGCATACCCCTTTACTTCTACCAATGACCGGACATGTACACTAAACCAGGTCCCTTGTTGCTGCGCAACAGGTGAGGGGTGAAACATTCTGTTGTGCGCAAGTTATTGTGTTGCTCTGGCCAGAGCAGCTGTAACAAGTGAGCAGGGAGCATCCTGGCCCAAGTGGGTGCCCACGGGTAAGGACAGGAAGGGGCATGTGTTGGGGGGCACATGGCAGCAGAAGCTAGCAGGGGAGGAGTATGCCAGGAAAGGTTGTACAAGAAGGTGGTGGCTCTGTGCACGTGTGTAAGCTCACAGCTGGGGCCTGGTGTCCCTGCCCTGGAGGATGTGCTGCCAGGTGGGGACAGAGGCTGGTGGATGCGGTGGCAGGACGGCTCTTGTAGGAAGCTAGGTGAGCGCCACCTGGCGGAGCTCAGGGGCATGGAAAGCCAATCTAAGGGCACCGTGAGCAGAGTCGTGGGTGCAGCCTCCTGGGACATGGCCCTCTGGGCTCCGGAGGGGCAGGGAGTCCTTCCTGTTTCCATCACAGATCATTGCTGGTACCTGAGCAAGCCCCATGAGTCAGCAAGGACTCAGCTACTGCTGCTCCCAGTGAAAGGCCCTGCCCCCGGAGTCACATCCATCTGGGCCTACAGGCTGGATGGGTGCTGTGGGCCTGGTCCACGGGCCCGGCTGGGATGGGTGCTGTGGGCCTGGTCCACGGGCCCAGCTGGGGTGGGTGGCCAGGTGTCCTGGACTGGCTGCACCAGGACCACACTGTATACGGTGCCTGTTCCAGCACATCTGCTTACGCTGGACCCAGCGTGGGTCCCGGAGTGGCCAGACCATGTGCCAGATGCTGTGGAGTGGGCAGCACATGCAGTGCATTCTTAGGCTCACTGCTTTGGGACCATGTGGCACCTGCTGTAGGCCAGATTCGGTATGTCATGGAGTAGCATGTGTCCTGCTCTGGCTGCTCCAGGACATGCATGGGACTGGGCACTGGCTGCAATACGATCCTGAAGCAGCTGGGGTGGGCGTTGTATGAAGCCCATGGGGCCATCCGGTGTACCCCATGTGCTGCCTGTAGCTCATGGGCAGCACGGGGGTGGGATGATAGAGCTCCCTGGACTGGATCCAGCCTGCAGTCCATATCTTTGACACCCTTGTTTTACATAATTAGGGAAAGCTCCAACAAAGTGAAGGGCCTGCAGGAGTCCACAGGGCACCCTGGCCACCAGGCAGGACATCCTTGTCCTGTGCCACCAGCAGAGGGGAGGAGAGGGGAGGGGGTCTCCCAGCCCCCTGCAGGGCCTGGCTAGGCCCCAGCTATGCTTTCAGGGCTCGTTCACTCCCAATATCTTGCTCAAGAGGTGCTTGCTGCAACCCAAAGTATGGCCTCCGGCCTTTCCCTGCAGTGCAATCACCCCTGAGCCACACTGGGGTGGGGTGGGGTGCTCCCCACTGCAGCCGTGGGCCCCCTCACCTGACCCCGAGGTGCAGAGCTGCACAAAGGCAGGGGCGAACCAGGTGGTTGCCTGGGGCCCAGACAGAAAAGGGACCTGAGAATGGTATTTTGTTTTTCCCTTGTCCAATCCTTATTATCTTTATCTCTGGTGAAGGGGAGGGTCTGAGACTAAGCGTGTCCGGGGCTGCCAGGTGTGTGGGTATGGCACTGAGGAGGTGTGGTGCCCCACATGGATCGGACCCAGCCGTCACATGGGGCTTCAGGGTGACAGGCCTGGAAAAGGCACTTGGGGACCCCCAGGTCCTCTTGCTATGATTGCTGGGTGTGGGGGCTCGCTGTCCCAGGCACGTGCAAGGTGGGGCGCAACACACACACACACACACACACACAC